TGATGATCCCAGCCGAATTAACCAACCGTCTTCAGTCCCATATTTTAGTGGACTTCTCAAATGCAGCCTGCTAGGGCATTTAGGCTGCTGGGTTGCATGTTTGGGTGGGTCCTGCTCAGCTTAACTAAACAGCTTGACCTGTTTAGAACCAGGCAAGATCCTTACTATCGAAAGAAAATAAGATCTTTGACAAACTAAATGTGGTTGGTTACCAAGATGCCAAATTGGGAAGAGAATTGAGGGTTTATAATGAAAAAAATATATTTTAAAGTGCACATCGATATTTATTTAGTATGCAATCATCAGAACTTTTTTTGGAGAAGAATCAAGTTATCTGAGATTTGAAGTAATTCTTACACAAGACATAAACAGAAAACTTCATGAGGTGCTTATAATGAGAAAAATGCATATTAAAGCGCACATAAACCAATGTAATTTAGTATAAAATTGTTAGAAGAGCTTTTCTAGGATGAGAATCGAGTTGTCTGAGATTGGATAATTCTTACAGGTGTGAGTTCTTATGCTAAAAAGTTACTTTGTATGGAAATCTATGTGTAATTTATGGAGGGCATTTTGTTGAAAGATGAAGATAATGCAGTTAGACTTGGGCCCAGGTTCAGCTAGGTCTGACTAATCTGTCACATATATTGGAACTGAGATGAAATGGTCCATGTTGATAGGCCAAATGGCAGCCCTCCTGAATAACATGATGGTCAGGCAGTGTGCCCAATGCAGTAAAGGTAAACAATGTCCTAGGGCAGTTGATTTGTGATCATTCTATCCAAACTGATCCAGTCATCCTCCCAATTCTGATTGATTTGACGGTTAAATGTGTTCCCTGTTTTGTTACTGAAGCTACTTGCAGTACCTTCTCTTATGGGGTCACGCTTAGTATTTGTGAAACCTGGAAACTAGAGGAAGCCTTTAAAAAGCTTTCTTTTCTCAACTCGGAAGAAAAACCAAGTGCAATTGCATTTGCCATGATATTTTCACGTCCACTGCAGGCATGGAGTTGATGAAAGTCCACTTCAGGAACTTGAGGAGACTAAGAATCAGTCTGCTGTCTATGTGGGAATAGATGATGATCTTGCTGGCATTATTTATGTTGAGGATGAAATCAGAGAAGATGCTAGCCATGTTGTTGAATCATTGTCCAAACAAGGAATAAGCACTTATCTGTTATCGGGGGACAAGAAGAATGCTGCAGAGTATGTTGCATCTGTTGTTGGAATCCCTAAGGACAAAGTAAGCTACTCATTTTTTGTCTTTGTTCTGGACTATGATGATGGGATTGGACTGTCAAGTTTTTTTCTTGAAGATCAACTGATTCTTACATTGAGTTACTTGAGGAACATATCCATTGTGCTCTGAGAGAGACTAAAGATAGGGGGTTAGTGATGAAAAAACCTGCCAGACCAGCTTATTACAAAGTGTATACCTAAAGCTGCAAGTCGTATCATTTCATGGAGATTTTTTATCCCAATACCCATCCTTGTATTTTAATGTGTGACTTATTCAATCACTCTCTAACCTTCTCAAAAGAGTTGGATGAATTTTCTGTAGTTGCTTGTGTACACGGAGCTGCACAAAACAAGCTTATGAGCTTTGCAAGTTTTGCATCCATATAATCAAAATCTGAGATATTTTTATGGTCTGGTGGATGACAGGTTTTATATGGAGTCAAACCAGAGCAGAAAAAGAAGTTTATAAGTGGACTTCAGAAGGAGCACATTGTGGCTATGGTTGGTGATGGAATTAATGATGCTGCTGCTTTGGCATCAGCACATGTAGGAGTTGCCATTGGTGGAGGTGTTGGAGCTGCTAGTGAGGTGTCTTCTGTTGTGCTGATGCACAACAGGTTGTCCCAGGTACGTCTAACAATTCTAATCTGCAAATCTATGAAAACTGTTTTCCTTTGCATTCCCTTCTTGTCTAGGTAAAAGAGGGATAATGGCACAGTTACCTTTCTGGAATTTTTTTTTTTTTGGTGTGCAAATTTTTTATTCTTGCATGTTAAAAGTAATCAAAATTTTTGCAAAACCCATGTTTGTTTTCTGAACTGATAGGACTCCTTCCACATTTCTATGATGGAGTGCTATGAAATTTCATCTCCAATGATTCCCAAAGCTATGTTGCCAGGATTCTGAAAAAAGCATGGATCTTGAAGCAACTGTAGGCCCTAATATCACCATGAAAGTTTGCAGCCTTAAATGACTTAATGAACGTAGCTTCTGCACACATGCAAAAACTGGAACAATTTACATGAAATGGGATGATTGCTGATTGCTTTATGATTGGCAGGCAGCAAATTACAGCTTCTCTTAAATCCCTTGTTCTGTCGCCATCCATATTGAATTCAAAAATTGAATATAATAAAGTTTGGGATATATGGAAAATTTTACTTGTACAAATAAGAAAAACCATCTGAATCATGCATTCAACCCCAACCTGATAAAAAACTTAGATGAAAAACAGACAATGCTGTTTCATTTTTTCCTTTTTAAGACATGGGAATTGAGGATTAAATTATGAGAAAATCCACATCAATATACAAAATGATAGTTTTGACTTTTAATTAGGACTAGCATAAAGTAGATGGAATTCAATTTCCAATGGAGCGAGAGACAAATCTCAAGCAATCAGATTACCTGCATAAAGCCAACTTCGTCATTCTTCTGCATCTTTTCTATCTGAATACATGTTACTGTACTGAATGGATATATTTAATTTTTCTGTTTGATTTTTCCAATCTTATGCCTGGTGCAATAAGAAAACGAACGACTTCATGGGGGACCTAGAGAATATATTATCCTGTAAATGAATTAAGATTGGTACACAATCTACTAAATCTTCATATTATAGACAAGTAAGTGCTGCTACACTTGCATGATCACTGCTTCAAGATTTCTAGTAATTAATTGTGACTCTACTTGTGTCATTTCTTCATCATGTGCACTACTTCAATAACTGGTATGACCTCGTCATTGCAGTTACTTGATGCTCTGGAACTAAGCAGGCTAACCATGAAAACTGTGAAGCAAAACCTTTGGTGGGCTTTTGCATACAATATTGTAAGTTCATTTTAATTGCAATTCATCAATATTTGAAGTTGATATTAGGCATCAAGGTTCTAAGACTTGAATTGCTGTCATTGTTTAATTAACTATTATCACCTTTTCTGTTGGCCTGTTTTCTCAACCTACCAAAACCAAGGTGCTATTGCTAAATAAAGCAAATATAATTCCTAAACTGCAGTTTAAATGTCTGGATATTTTTTGCAGAAATCGATCAGTTACTGTTATCGATTATGATATGACAACTCTTCATGTTTCCCCTTTTCAATTGATGAGTAGAAATTTTTCTTAAATTATTCTCGAGTTTTTCGACAAATCAGTGCAGCCATCTATCTCTGACTACTTGCAGGATTTTGCACTCATCAACATTGTGCAATTCGATATTTGCTAATTTACTTCGGGGAAATATTAATATTCTATACCATCTAGAGGATGAATAGTTTGTGACTTAATGATTTATTTGGTGAATGAATAATTCTGACTTACATTGAACCTCTGTGAAGTTTGATTTTTTCTGCCATTGGCTAAAGGAACGGGGTTATTCATAAAAGAATTTCTTGGGTTAATAATAGCTAATGAATTTTAGGGAGGATCGGATGTGAGTTGCACACCTGTTTGGTTTTCACCTTCTTGTCGAGAAGGTGATGCCTGTTTTTATTTTTATCTTTTAGTTTTGTTTTCTTTTGAAACTGTCAGTCTAGATCCATTCCAACATGTTAACCTTCTACAGTTCATGGTTATCCTTCAACATTTTCTTCCTTTCTTCCCCAAAACTGGTCTGGAGGATCTTACTTTGATGTCACCCCACTACAAGCTTATTTGCTTTTTCTTCTCTTCTCTTACAGTTTGGAATTCCTATAGCCGCTGGAGCATTGTTGCCAGTTACCGGCACTATGCTTACTCCATCAATTGCTGGTGCCCTCATGGGCTTGAGCTCTATTGGGGTAATGACAAATTCACTGCTTTTGAGATTCAAGTATTCGTCAAGAGAGAAAGAAATCGGTGGACCATCAGTACGGATTGATATGCCTCTTGATGCTGATAGAGTGGTGGACCAAGATAAAAAGTTGAAAGACCCTTTTGTATCCACTCGATAATGAGAACTGCAATCATGGGAAGTGAATTGGTTCTTGTGGACATTGCAGAGCCCTGTCAATTTCACTGACATGCCTTCTTAGTTGGAAGTTAGTTGGAGATGATCAATGTTCATGAGGATGTGTTGCCAAGTACTGGGTTGGTGCACGAAATTATGCAACAAGACAGCAGTGAAGAAGGAAAAGCATGTCCTAGGGATGTGCTATCAGACATCGCGGCTGGATGAGCCAAAAGGTGGCTAAAGCATGAAGCACATGACGAGGGAATACTGAGCTACGAGGATCATTGCTGCATCAATTAGGCATGAATTGGTATCGAGTAGTTTTTTGTTCTATTGCACGTCCAAGGATATCAAATTTGGTGGTTCTGGTAAGAAAATGATGCGTGAATGGGTACCCCACCCGTGACAATGCTAATTGAATGCTAGAAATATAATCAAGTATTCTTTCGCTTGGGGAATCATCACGAGTAGTTCGACAAAAGAGCAACGTACGTATTAAGGCTCTCGTCCATAATTAATCCAACGTATTGGGAATGTCGTCCGTCATTAATCAATCCAGTTGAAGAGTCTCAAGGACCTGGGAATACGTCAAATGAAATAGTGGATTCAATTGTTGGGTGGAACCTGACAAAAGCAAAGGCGTGATAAAATGCCCGTGTGCTCTCAATACGTTACTGGTTTGAGATGTTAGATCTCAACCTCCCAGAAAAGTATCCAAACAAAATGGCTTGGGCTGTGGTTTCACTGGTGGCTTTCAGCGCTTACGTCAATGGATGCCCATGCGCATAAATAGTAATACAAAATCAGAGAGTTCGAGACAAACAAGAAGTGGGGAAATTTAAAGTATATGCAGGCAACAAAGCCAATCACCCAGGAATCAGGTGAAATCGGGCAATCAATATCAGTAGCAATATTTTCATTAGCACAACTAAATATGCATGTGTCGAAGATTCATATGATGTACATTAAGCAATCCCAATGTTACACAATAAGCGAGCAGCTTTTCCACATTAGTGAAATATCATCAAATTCACATAGCTCCAGTGACTGCCACGGTATGTTCACTCTGTGCGACTCCTGAAGGTATGGAGACTATAACGGGAATGGGAGTTCAAGTCATAAAAATAATTGCAAAATTTCGCGGTAACTGTATCAGAACACCGAAATTATCTGATGCAGAAGTTCAGCCCCAACCCAGCAGACAGCATGCAAAATTCTTCACGTTTAAGGATCAAGCTCCCTCAAATGATAAATGCACCATCCCTCACCGAACTTCTAACAATCAACCGGCCTGGCCAAATTATTGGTGCCATAGTGATCTAGGTAAGATTTTTTTTCAGAGTGCAGCCCGTATCAAGAAACTTCACACCATGTAAGTCATGCCAACCTGTATCAAATGTGAATGTGACACGCTCAAGTTTGCAATCCCCCTCCTGCAGTTTTTTCTCAAGAAAGCATAAAAGTAATTTATGACCAGCTTCTTTATGAACCAGGAATCTTTCCTTGCCCTAATATCTCCATGACCAAGAAGATAAACAACCCCAGATTCTTTGGCTTTGCGTATGAATGACAGCTCCTTCTCAAGACTCTGTTCAGCGTCAGACAAAGTTGGACTAGAAGAAGACTCAGGCTTGACCTCTTCTGACGTGCTTGCTTGCGCACTAGACTTGCTTGCATCCCTGAACTCAGTCAAGAGAGGAACACCAAGTGAATAGACACTTCCATTTGGAGCTATAAGAACCCTTGAGAAAGAGTGCTCTTCTTCAGAATCTGAATCACCATCACCATCACTCTCTAACGACCGTTCCTGAGCTTCCCGACGAATAAATTTTTCAAGACTTTCAATTAGCAGCTGCTCAAATGTCTGGTGATTTTCTTTCCGAACATCTTTGTAGCCATATCTGTTCATAACACAATAGAAAGATGAGGAAGGAAGGGGAAAAAGGAAACAAAAGAATTTTTGTGCAAATACACGAGGAAACACACACATTGCAGATATTTCAAGACACTAATGACACTAATGCTGGCTATTGACACTAATGACTTTATACGCATATGACACTAATGACTGGTTTTCCATAACAAGAGTAACCTATGCCTATGCTGGCTATTGATCAAACGTGACTTTATACGCATATGACACTAATGACTGGTTTTCCATAACAAGAGTAACCTACCCCTATGCTGGCTATTGATCAAACATTGTAAACTGCCGAGATTGGATGGTAGGGTAAAGGGACTAAATTTTCTTCTTTCAATGGACGGAGCAATGGGAAGTCTAATGAAGTCAAGGTACAAAACCCAGAAAACTTCAATAGATAAACCACAGCACCATCAAGAAATCTGGAAGGTTCCAGTTTGTTAGCAATATACAGATTTCTGGTCCCACAAAAAACCATAAGAAACCTCCAATCATGTCCCAAGAAAAAAAGAGAAGGAAAATAGAAGTGCAACATAGAATAACTAGATTTTGCATACAAACAGTAATTACTTGCCATCTATGTAATCTTTTGCAGAGAGACTCATTTTGAAGAAAGCACAGAAAAATGTTTTCCCCAAAAGAAAGAGAACAAAACTAAAAAAGCGAGAGAGTAAAATTCCTAAACATATCACCAACGTCCCAACATCCAAAATAATCCACTATTACTACTCCTTTCACCTCAAAAAGGACAGTGACAGGAGTGAGAGACATGTATGTAGGACCAAGAATTACCCTAGGGAAAAAAAACAGCAATCTGATCTTAAACCCCATTTATATTTGAAATTCATCCCTAAATTTGATTGTTAATTTTTTTTTTTTGAAATTTAAATTTGGAGAAAGATTTCAAGCAAAATCTATCTCAAATTTTTTATATGATGCTATTGTAAGTTTAGAGCACATTTTATAAATGAAGATGAGCGAATATCTCAAAATACAAACATGACATTTATAATAGATTCAAACTTTGTTAAATTGAAGACCTAAATCATCAATCAAACTCACATAATACTATGGATTCAAAGCACATTGTACCCAATCCTTGAATAAAATGGACATAGTAGTGTTTGAACTTGTCATTGGTATATTTCAAGTTGGACAAGGATCCTAGAACTCAGGAATCAACATCATATTCAACTTCCAGGCCATATTCATTAGAACGTTTTCAATACAAATTAGAGCCCATAATGAAATTGGTTTAACTGGCCAGGACCAAAAATGGCGCATAATTAGCACACTCAAGCTCTATTATAATATTTAAGTGTTCCATACACTAATGCTTATTACTTTTATAACCTGTAGCATCACAGATGTGTAGTTGGACAATGCAAGTTAAACAAGATCAAGGAGAAAGGAATTTCCTCTGAACAATCAAAGGAATAAATGTGGCTCTGAAGAACCACATGGCAGAAGAGAAGACATTGAGTATACGAGCTGTGCATGGGCCTCTATCCATACAAAAGAAAAACGAGTCAATGAATCTAAACCTAACCTTAGAACTGAACAAAAAATGAGGCAAGCAACTAGCTCTGCAATATGATAAAATATGAAATACTGACCGGGCAACACAGCGGAATATGTGGAAGCTTTTAGGGCAGACTCGACGGAACAGAAATCTTTCACTTTGGGGAACTACAGGAACCGGAACATACTTTATGCACACGAAGATGATCATGGAATGCACAGCAGGAAGTGTGGTGAGGAAATGTCCAAATATTGCTGGTATGCCCTTTGCCAGCTCATTGTAAAGCAAACCAATACCAGGAGCCCGGACAGTTCCAAGGTTAGGACCCAGTTGCCGCAACAAATCCATTGACATCTTCTGCTTGACCTCAGTTTCATACTTTAGTTTGCTCCCATAATTCCAGATGTACATTATTAAGAAGATGACAATTGCAAACAATAATATGATCCAACTTCCGTCACCCACACTCCATAAAACTGATGAAAAAAATGTCAATTCCAATCCCAAAAAGATACAAGCAAAGCTCAGCACAATGATGATGTTTATCTGCCATATCAGAAGCATAACAAGGGTAACTAGAATTGTAGTCATCATCATCACTCCTAGCTCAGCAATGCCTGAAAAGTAGAATCAGCAATAGATAAGATAAAAGCCAGGCTAAAAACCATTTGGCATAGCAATTTACAGAAAAAATTAAGAGTTTCTACTTCTGTTTCTTCAGTTTTCTCCTCTTGAGCAGGGGGTGAGGTCTCTGCAGAATATGGTGTGCTAAAATGATTTATAATAGGGGATCCATTATTTCAAATTGAAGTACAATTCTCAACAGAAACTCGCACAGAGCAAACCTTATTTGTTTATGCATTACTGAAAATGAATTTGGGGACAAAACAAGGAATGATCAGATGGAAGTTAATAGTTATAAAACATATAGGACAAGAACCAAATTTAAGAATAAAAGAACCTTCACTATTCTACTACTCCTTCCATCCTGTCCAGCTTTCTTGATGCATTTAGTGATTCCAACTTAGCATGTACACTTTAAGAATTTTAAAGTGGTGGGTTTCGTTTTCAAAGTTTGCCCATGACAATAGCGTATTAAAATGCCTTTAGCATAGAATTTGACTCCATCATATGTGGGATCTATTGATTTGATGTTTGTCATCCATACAACTCCAACTGAACACGATGCATAAGACATACAAGTGATCTTGTGGGTGGCATCAGTTGGTATGTGCGTATAGTGGAGATCAGGTCTAGTTAACAAGAGTTGATGTGTCAACAAATAAATTCTACACAAACTGAAAGACTGAAGGATATAGATCAGAAAGTTGTAGTGAACTTTATTCACATTTTTTTGGTAGCAACGAAGTGGACGACCCAAAACAAAAGGCATGACAATATCCATGCAAGGAGGGGAGTATATTAGACATGGCCAGACATTATTCATCAAGAAAATCCTACAGTTAGACTGCTGAAACCCCTCTTGTACATGGAAGCGAAAGCACATCAGCCAAAAAAATTTTCATTCCTTTATCACTCCTCACATTTTAAGATAGCAACATCATATGCACAAAATCTTCATCAGAAAAGATTGGGGGAGGGGGGGATTCAAACACACAAGCACAGAAAATCAATCCTGAAGAAAAAAAAAAAGACAAGCATTACCATATGCATTTCCGATCTCATAAATACTTGAGATTGTGCAGACCAGCACCAATGAGAAAAACAGGAGGAACCAGTTCATAACTGGGATATAAATCTGGCCCATGAATTTTCGAGATGTATGAACAATTTTCAGGCGAGGAAAGCAACCAAGTGCTGTTGATTGCTTGATACAAGAGAAAGTCGCTGTTGTCATTGTCCTACTGGCAATCAATGCAGCAATATTAGAAATGAGCAAAACTGGCCAGAAAGCCCCACCTGCAGTTTAAGTGAATATCTTTCAACCATTAAATACTTGCAATTGTTTGGCAAAAGGTGGATCTCTGAAACTGAAAGAAACAAATGATGTATTTACTTGGATGACTTAAACAAAAATCAATATTTACTTGGAACAGAAGAGAAGAAAGCTTGTGTAGTATCATCATGATTCTCCATAAGGTAGGCAGCTTGACCCAGGTAACCCAAAAGAAGGCAAGGCAGTACAACAAACACAAAAGTGAGCTGCAAACAAATTCCTTCAGGTTTTAGCAACAAAAAGTTTTCAGAGAACTCAAACAAATTGGAAAGAAGACAGTGGATTTTTCAAAGAGAAAAAAAAAATTGCACATCACGCACACACAAAGTGGGGTACAGCACAAATAATAGCTATTTTTTCACCTGAACTGATCTAACAGAGAAGTAGCACAGATCCGCAAACATTGCCTCTGAACCTGTTACAGTCATAACCACATGTAGTAAAGGTCAACTTCTTATTCCCCTTTTCAGAGCTATACAACCCACAGAGATAATAAGTTTTACAATCTTATCAAAGCTAGTAAGTTGCTACAAGAAGCATGGGTCTCATTGAAACTACACGTATCCGACAAGTTTAGAAGACCTACCATTCTGCATCAAAGCTAGTAAGTTGCTACAAGGATCACAGGTTTCATTTAAACGTATGCATATGCAACAAATTTAGAAGACATACCCGTTTATGAAACAACAAACAAGGCGTACCATGGCCCACGAATGACAAAGCTAAAGTTGAGAATCTCAATCATTAACTTAATTATCAGGTAATTACCAAAAAACCTACCTGTGACACAAAGAAGACAGCCTCCGAGAGAATACCATGCCTTAGTCGAGTTACGTTTGAAGAAATAATAGATGTGAATTGGGTTGAATGCCCTCAGAACACCTGTATCATACTTCAAAAGGTTGTAGATGCCAATACCCGCAAGAGAACAAAACCATACGAACAAGGTAGGACCAACGACAATCCCAACTTTACTTGTACCATACTTCTGAACACTGAACAGAATTACAAGAAATGCGACAGAGATCATCACCACTTCATCTGCAGTAATAAAGATAATTAAACTTAAAAAGCTGATTAAAGTGGAAAACTATATATATAGCAAGCAATTATTTAGTACAAGCAGGAGACGACACTAGGGAAGTGAAATTCTGGAACCATGCATCCACCCAAGCAATATTTTGCTAAGCTTGAAAATGAAATGAAGAAACTGTTTGCTTGTGCTAAAACCACTAAATCTAGAAAATCAAGTGCAACCAGATTATTAGTGTTTTTTGTGATAAATCAACAACAATCAGTATTGTTCGTTAATAGAAAGCCAACCCGCTCAAAGTTTTGGTGATTTTTTGATAAAGATAGATGGATTTCCTTTCCAGTGATCAATGCTTGAAATCCAAATATCCAAGGGTAAATAGCCTACAAATAGTTATTTCATCAATGTATTGACCATCTTACCTTGCTTTATCCCAGAAACACCGACCTTCAAGCCACCAACAGCAGACGTTACTGCAACAACAGAAATTCAGACTGGCACTGCTCCAATACAAATGCAAATAAATTTTCTGGAAGAAAAACTGCAAAACATATTCTTATAGACCACTGAAGCACATCCAAAATAAGAATGAAGGACAATTAGTACCTGACATTGCAGGTGTAACAACACCATCAGCTATCACCATAGAAGTACCAGCAAGCACTAACATCAGAAGCAGCTTTTTCAGAGTCAAAGAAGTTTCAAGCCTCTCCTTTATTTTCAGTGACCTCTCAAGTTCAGCAGATGGCACCTTCAGCCTGAAGCTTGATATACGAGCATCTGAAGGAAGCTGATTCGGAAGAAGACTAACCTTAGCATGCCTACATATCAATGAGTACAATGCAAATGTACCACCTGCATAGTTAGACCACGTAAAACAACTCATCTATGCAATCCAGAGCAAACCATTGACAAGTTTCTGCACAAACTGTTGTGTAATAATTGTTCAACTACCTTCACCATCGTCATTGGCCCAGAGAACAATAAGGACATACTTGATCAGTGGGACCAGGATCAAGGTGTACAATACCAGAGAAAGTGCACCAAGAACATCTTCATTTCCATTGACAGGGGCCTTGCTGAACATTACGCTGAAGGTGTATAATGGGCTTGTCCCCACATCACCAAAAACAATACCCAGTGTCTGAAAGGCCAGCAAAAATTTCCTGCCCACAGTGATTTCCTGCGATTATAATTTCAAATCAAGACACCAACTTCTTAATGAAATTTAACAAGAAGAAATATCCTCTTCAATCACACCATTCAAGAGCATGTAATTTTCCTTAATACAGTAAGAAACCAAAATACACCCAGAACTTCTCTGTTATAACTGATTCCACTTTTCTCTCTCTTCCTATGTGGAGGCGTATGAACACAAAACAAGAAGAAAGGGCAAAAAAAGAAAAAAAAAATCATTTCTGTCTATTTAAACTCTCAACATGTGATAAGTTTCATTTCCATAAAAGTCAAAAGACTTGTCCATTAGATTATGTGTATGATACCATTTCCATCTCAGTAGAACTAGTTCCTGAGTTATAAGGACAAAGAGCATTGGGGTGATCTTGACTGCAACTAACCAAAAAACATAAGCCAACTGAAATCAATCTAATTTCTACTGAAGCAAAAGTCCTCATCTCAAGCTCTTTTTTTTATCCAAAAAGGAAAAAAAAAAACTCACCAACATGAGGACATCGCCTATTGTTTCATCAACCAACCAAGGTCAATACAACTATCGCTAATAGTTTCCTCACAAAGAAACTTTAATAACCGACCATCCTCAATTATTATCTTCCATTTCCACATCGCACATTCAGTGAAAACATTTAAACACTTGATAGCGCATAAAAAACCGAAACAAATAATAATAGTAGTAAAACCAATCAGCAAACTGAGAAGCATGGAAATGAAAAAAAAAAAGGGCTAAATAATCAAATTTAAAAAAAAAAATTGAAGCGAAATACCTCAAAATCATTTCTGTGAGCGCCAGGTACTTCAAGAGCTTCAACGTCAAAGGAATCAATCCTCGGCCCCGTCCGAATCAACCGCTGCTCGGCATTATCATTATCATCGTCGTCGGAGTCCATCGTGCCATTGCGTGGCGACAATAAGCCATCAGCATCGTCATTTTCATCGTCGCCTTCGCCATATCCGATCGCCGATGCCTCCTCGTCGTCCTCGTCGTCCTGAAACACCCACCGCGACTCCGAATCCATCGACGATAATTGCCCTCCGTTCTCTCTCTCCGATCCCTCCATTGAATTAATCCGATGCCGAATTTACCCCAACCTACGCCAATACGATTTTATACACCATTACATCGCAATATACGAAAAGCACACTTACTTGAGGCGCATTCCTAGGTGTATTCAAAACAAAAGTGTGCTTAAATTAAACAATTAATAGTAGTAGCAGTAGTAAAATGGAGACCTGGGGGAAGAAGCAGGGGATTTTTTTTTCGCGGATTTTATTCGTAAAATTTTGGTTGTGCTCTGGATCTTGTGTGTGATATACATAGAGAAGCACTAAAAGGAAAGGTGACAGGGCGGGTATTGACAAATCTCCCTCCGGGTGAGGGATGAAGTTTCATCAACGACTTTGATTAACGGCTGGAGTGGGAGAGTTGGAGGCAGAACCGGGGCGGGGGGAGGTCCGAACCGTATCTGAGGAATTTGGGGACAGTTCCGGTCTGGTGCGGACCAGCTGGGGGATTAAATCCTCGCCACGTGCCCCATTGGGGGATGGGGATTCTTAATTAGCCCTACCGGTATTTTGATTTTTGTTGGCAATTTGGGTGGACCCCGCCTATATATCTTCTTTTCTTTTTTTTTATTTTGATAATATTTTTTTTATATTCTAAACTGTTGTTTAATGATTAATTAATTAAAGAGTAAATCCCACGTTGTTGAATTTTGCGGGTTATTTTTCTCTTTACTCATGGAAAGCCGTGGCTCCGTAGATGTGGACAGGGGAACACAAATGCACAATTTTCACATTTTGTTAAATATTTGTATCTGTTTTATCGATGTGCGGCGGCTAATTCTGTTTGACTCGGATCGAATTTCTTGCGAAAAAAACTCTCCTAATATTATCCTTTTCATTTACACTAGTTTGGAATTCAAATGAATGCAAGTCCTTTCAGCTTAAATAACAAACTGATAAACAGAAGTTGTTGCTCAATTCCGAGTGCAAAATCTCGATCGGTCGCTTATTTGCCATGGATTGTCACCTCTAAGCCACGTGGGTTACGTTACAGTCACTTTGAGGTGGAACTGGACTTTCCTGTTGACTGTTGATATCATTATGCGTATGTGTGACTAATTAATTAATTTTGCTTGGCAACTTGAACTTGTATAATTGGGGGCTACTTGGGGATGGGAGTACATTTGAGTAGGGGTGGCAATTTTCGACACGACCCGAAAACACGACACGAACCTAACACGAAATTAATGGGTTTGGGTTGAGGTTTTGGAAATTCGGGTCAGAATCGGATTGGACCCGATGAACCCGAAAAGAAAACAGGTCGATTTCGGGTTAACCCGTGGTGACCTGATATGACCCGATATGACCCGTTTACGAATTAAAAATAATTTAATAAATATAAAAATATTTTTATCTAACTAACCTAAGTTATTCTTTTTTTCAAATGCATTAATTAGTTAATCATAAATGAATTTATTTAATTTGTGTGAAGTTGAAATTATTATATTTGGACAAATAATATATTATATTATTTTTTACTTTTATACTGTTTTAATTTATTTTATATTTTGTTTGAGATAAAACACTTTTACGGTGTTTTATTTATTTTAGATTTGATTTGGAATTACTTATTTAAATTTTTATTACTTGATTATGTAATTAGTTTTGTGAGAAATTGATTTTATTAGAAATTACAGTGATAAATTAATAAATTAAAATTAAGTTTCGGGTCATTTCGGGTCGACCCGCCAACCCGTCAACCTGAAATTTTTGGGTTCGGGTCAGCATACCTGACCCGTCACGGGTTGGCGGGTCGGGTTCGGATCAACAGATTTTCTGGCGGGTTGACCCGAACCCGACCCGCCAACCTGATTTGGACCCGAATTGCCACCCCTACATTTGAGTTTGATTGTAGACATTTGATTTAAAGAAAATAAATAATAGTACGATAAGATAATTCAATCGAAGTTGCAACTCTTCATATCCAATTTCTTTGAATTGATTTGATGTGATGAATGTGATTAACAGTCAGGATGGGAATATTTTTTCAATTTTCTCTCTCTCTCTCTCTCTTTTTTTTTTTTTGGTAATTTGAGATTAAGAATGTAAACAATACTAATTAACTCGAATATCATGGTGTTCGAACTTGTTTAATTATTTTATCCAGTTTAAAATTTTGTCCATCATTAGCTTGTTAAATTGCCAAATCAGCTTCCTATTTGACACACAAATTTTTTGCCAAAATTTTCTTCTACATGGTGTTTTAACAGTTTTAACTATAAGAATTTCAAAAAAAAAAAATTTTAAAATTTTTAATATACACACCTTAAAATACCCAAAACAAGCACACAAGAAATTTTTCTCCTCTTTCATTTCTTTTTCTTCCTATCCACGCCTCAACCCACCACCACCTCAATCGTCGACCGCCGCCAGCAGCCTCATTTTTTTCCCTCTTCCTTTTCTCTCCACCTCCCTCCTTCCTTCCTATCCTCTTCCACTCTTCCCATTCCCTCTCCTCCCACTCCTTTCTCCTGCCACCCTCCCCCTTAAAATTTTTTCTATAAATTTACGGTAAAAATTTATATTAACACCAAAAAAATAAAACCCGAATTTGAATGAGTTTGACGTTATTCAAATTTGACTTGATTAATTACCGAATCAAACTCGAACGAATACTACCAAGTTCATCTCTATAGTTTAGACATAAACTAGGAGGGGATCACCGCGCGAATGCGCGGTGTGAAATTAATAGGTAGTATGCCCAGTGTAAAACCCATTGTAATAGTTTTTTTTAAAACAAAATAGATAATCCATAATTAGGAGTAATGACTAAAATAAGTTATTAAACTATATTGGCCGAATATGTTGAGTCAAGGCCAAGTATATTAATAAAGAATACAGTTAAGAAAAAACTTCTATAAATTATTACAAGTTGTATGCATAATTGGATACTAAGTGTTTACTATGGTTCAAGTTTGCATTTCTCAATCTCTTTACAATGCCGAATATCGTTCAAGAGTTTATTTGTCTCTCTTCCCAGAGCTTATTCGAATAATCTCCTACTGCCATGTTTTTATCCTGCACAAGAGGTAATGCAATTTTATGTTTAAGCCATATGAATTTTATGTATCATTAAGGATATAATCTAGACAGAGTAATAAATGAACTACTCTGATGGAACTAAAAGGCATATAATATTACAGTATAAATTGAGTTAGAATCGGCCCAGCAGGAAGCAAATAAAAACTACTTTCTCCTCTATAAAATATGCAATTTGCTGGTAGCTATGCTTGATATGCATATGCAATGGTGATAACGTTCTTTATTGCCATGGCCTTGTATGTGTCAAAATCAAGTGTAAATTAAGCTCTTGTATGTTGAAACCAAAACTTTACATATTAGACAAAATTAAGAATGATACCATGTAAAAATAGGAACGAAATATGTGATAAGTTTTGAAGCCAAAAATATTGAAATTTGAGAAATAAAAATGAAAGAACTAACATTTCCATGGGAAACAAATATGAAAAAGAAATTATTGATTAAGTAAAAAGGCCAATCAATCTCACAATTATTGATCACTATACCGGGGAAAGATAAATGATAGCAAATAGTAAAATAGTTCATATCCACACTGTTTGTGGTTGGAAAACCATACCTTGCTTCTTGATAAGAATTCATGAGAAAAGTCTTGTAGTAGCCAGCCAACTCAAGCAGTTCATCAAATTTCTCACTTTTCCTCCAAAAGTTTGAAAAGCAAATTCAGTAAGCACTATATGATTGATAGCAACAAGTGATTATTCAAAAAACAACGGGTGAAGGAAATGCAAAGAGATTTAGAAATTTGAGGGATGAAAGCAAATGATCCTAAGAGGGTTCAGCACATGCAGTCCTCAACCAAAAGATGTTGAATTTAGGCAAAGACTTGTTGTTCATCAAGAATGACAGTAATACCTATACATTATTTGGAAACAAGCACAATCAAGTCATCCATGTGGTTTCCATCATTTAATAGAAAGGCAATGAGCGGACAGGATGACTTGGAATTCAAGAAAAAAATCAAGTTAACAGGAATACCTAAAACCAAGAAAAAATGTAAACCACTGACCAACTTGATATGAACTATTTAAACTATCCATGAAATAGCAAGTTGAAGTTCCCATGGATTACATCATCTTCATTAAGAAAAGGCATAAGATCATTACATGCAATCTTGGACCAATCAGTAAAGTCAAGATCAACTAAAAGCTTTTAATGCAGAAATTATTAATACAATTCCATAAGGCTTCCACAAATATGCCTTTTCGAAAAAGAAACAGGGCTGCAATGTAACAATTCTTAGATATTCGATTAAATTGGGAAATTTGTATTATAGGTCCAATTAAAAACAAAAGCAAAAATTTTTTTGGTCGAATAAATTGGGGAATTTGTATCAGTTAAGTTTCTTTAGAAAAAGTAACAAGTAACCAAGGATAGCATAAGATGCATAAGGTAAATAAGTACCTATTTAACTCAAATTCTGAACTACATCAATTCAAAAGAAAACCATGACTTGCGTTCCGAATCTAAAGCCAATTCGAGGGTCTTGTAAAGGGTTTGACTGGGCATCTGGACTGCTATATCCTTCAATTTTAGTTTGTAAAGAACCACATTGATCATCTTCCAGTAGCTCAAAGACAATAATGCCAGGCTAATTGTGATATTTCCATCACCACATACCTCGACTAATTTTTTCACCATAAGGTGTCAGTTTAGATTCTTTATCCACTTCTTCACCTTGAAATCCATAAACAGCCTCCAATGACTTACCCAAAATCCATCAATAGTAGTGCAAAGAATAAACTGCTAAATAAATTTGAAAAAAAAAAAGAAAGCAAAGAGAGAACAAAAACACTGAAACGATAACTCCTGCACATACCTTGAAGGCTGAAATAAGAAAAGTAGCCTCCTTATTTCGTTCTTCCTTTATCTAACAAAAATTTAGTGTAAACAAGTGTTGGCCAGATGAAGAATATAATTAAAACAACCTCATGGTAATAACATGAGAATGATTCAGAGAAAATTATTGAACTTATTCTCCATATTCTTCAACATTATTAACAGTTGCAAATGAAATATAAACCCACCATTTTTTCCTTGCTTTTTTTACATTAAAATAAAATTCTATAGTTACATGAAGCAAGATGATATGTAGATTAATATCACAAGTTTTCCTCTCCTTTCTGAGTATGACCCTTTTGATTTCACAGCCCTTTCAAGAATTCAATATTTTCATTTAATGGTTCACAAACCTTACATGGTTTGAAATTTAACTACTTCAACCATTAACAGCCTAGAATTTAACCAAGCATTGAATAAATTGCGTAGATAGCATGCTTAGCAAAGCAAACATGACAATCTAGTCGTTAATCAAATAATTTTGATCCAAATCCAAGGAAAAAAGGCCCCAAGATGGAATTCCACTCACTTGATCTATACAAAGTTGTCCAAAAAGTGCATTAGTTGGCTGCAAAAAGAAAAAAAAATGACAAAATCATTACCAACTAACTAAGAGAGTTCAACAGAAACAGTCAACCCATACCCTCTTACTTTGACTTTTTTACTTATAAAGAGTTATTGGCAATATCAACTGGAAAACAAAAATTTCTTTGAACATGAAAAAAGAGGAAAGAAATTAAACCATTTCATCTAAGGAAATAATCACAAGTTTCAATGCAAAAAAGTGAAAGCATAAAATATTGGATCTTAAGTAAGGATAATTACTGAATGGAGTTGCTTAAAAAGACCTGACAATCTCATAATCATGACTTACACTGGAATTTTAGGAAATACTTCAATAAGAGGCAGACTGTCCTCTCCATAGTCCATTTCTTGAACGTCTATGAAAAAGGAGTAAAGATAGGAGAAGATTATAGTTGACTTCTGGTAAAAAGATAGAAAAAATAGACAAACAGAGATCCTAAATGTATTTACTTGAGCAAAGAATTTCCAATCGTTCATACTTGGTAGCAAATCCCTATTCCTCAACCCGTAGCAAACATATAAAACTTATTAGAGAATAAAATAAAATTTAATCAAGAGAAAAAAGTACACATAGAACAAGAGTGGAGAAGCTAGCAGTTTTCAGAGAAAAAGAAAGAAAGATAAGAACATAAGGGACTTTTCAAATAGAAGCTTTGAGTTGGAGGGGATTGAGATATGGAAAATTATCTGATGGGAATTGATTAGTCTTGTCAGCATTGAGCCAAACTCCTCTATTGCAGATACAGGAATTTGAGGGAAGGCCTCTAGTTTTGTAACTCCCAGAACTTTAACTCACCAGCAAAGAGGAAAACAATAACTTTTTGCACAGAAAGGAGATGGGAGAGATTTTTTTTTTTTACACAAAAGATAGGAGAGAGATGGCTCTGAGGTCTTTCTATCAATTTTTCTCATAAAAAATCTGAGGTAAGATGACTCCAGAACACCTCTCCAAAAATAGTTGGATGTGTCAAAGAAGTGATTGTATTCTCAAATTCTAGGAAGAATTGTATGCCATTTATCTCAAAGTAGAGGCATCTTGTCCTCATATTTGAACATCTAAATGTGTTATATTTAGTACAAATTATCTATCCAGTTAAAACAAATTAGGAGTTCTACCAAATTTTCTTCAAAAGTAACATGCCCTTCCTTTAATTTCTTTCCTGCATAAAAAACTTCAACATAAATTGAAGGTCTGCATCATATTCACCTTTTTGAACCTATCAATTGGAATACCATCTTCATGTTTCTCACAAAATTTTCTGTTTAGGCTTACCTCAATTAAGTTTATTTTTACAAGTAAAAAAACTATCATAAGGTTCAGTTTTCCAGACTTAATCTTACTGAAATGTTACAAATCTAAGAGAACATCATGTTTTGTAAATATAGACTTAAGTCAACCAAAACTGATTTTCCTAATAAGAATTTCCAAGCTATTAAACATCGTAGTCTATGATTCAAGAGGCAAAACTACAATTATGTAGCAATTTAATTCTTTTTTTGATCAAGGAATAGAAAATTTAAGGTGTTTTATTAAAACAGTAACTTACTCATTATTTCAAGCAGGTGCTTAGAATGTAATATTTGAGAATCCTCGTCTTGGACAAACCTTTAACCACCTACAAATAGGAAAACCATTTAGATTGCCATTGTAACAAAAAAATATATTGCTGAAGATACTCAGTTTAATATCCACTTAAGGTTCATAAAACGAATATTCAAGAGGTTTTACCAAGAGACAATTTATGTACTAAAACAAAAAATTTCAACACAAAGCAATCAAAAGAATAGCATCACACGATCTTTTGTAACTCATGGCCAATGACCAATCTGACCTGGAAGTTCCTGATTCTCAGAGAAGAAATTTATTAATTCTTCAAATGTTGAAAACCCAATGAAGAAAAAGGAATCGGAAGAACTGGAGCAAAGAGAACGACATTTTGAAGATGAAGAAATCTATTTTAAACAAGTGAATCTTTTTGGTTACCATATGGATTGCTTTTCTGATCAGGAGATCAACAAAACACCTGCATGAAAGACACCAAAAAAATGACTAAAAAGAAAACTCGAATGAGGTTTGAAAAGAGCAAAGGCAAAGAAAAATATACCATCATTTAAGCTCTGAAAAGAGCAATTTAAAGTAAAAATTAAATTAGAATGATAAAACAAAGCTTACAATTTTCCCCTCAGCAGTTGTCTTTCACGGGTGGCCATTTTCCTCCCTGTTGCAGAAGAAATCCTAGAAAGGCAAAAACGGAAAGAAAAATGGAACAATAAAACACCAAGTAGGTACAAAAAATAAAGTAAATAAATACTCTACAAGCCAGCTAATCATCAATTATTCACCATCTCCGACCATATTAAAAGTTTTTTGTTGAAACTAAAAATAAAAATTTAATGATAAAACTAAAATGAAACAAAGACATTAATCATGGAAAGAAAGGGGAAGAAAAATACCATATCTGTATTCTACAAATTCATATAGACAGTGGAGATGAAATATTAACCTTTCACTTCCTTGTTGTTTCAGAAAAGGACCAAAAAAAAGAAGGGGGAAGAATTGATTGTTTTTAGCCAAGGAAATATCAGGTAAAATGGCAGAAAAATAGAAAAAATCAGCTATAATCACTTGAGGTATGGAGCGAGGGAGATGAAGGAGAACAGGAGGGAGAAATCGACAAAGGGAGGAGAGGAAGATTACCAGTCCCTTTGCAGTCTTGAGCCCACCGTCCATCAACTCAATCAGAAGGAAAAAAATCTGGAGCCCCCCAATTGAGATTACAACCTGTTTCAAGTACAATCAAATGCCAGAAATTCAGGAAAAAACTATGGGTCTCGTGAAAATGGAATTTTGTCTGGAGAATAACAGCAATAGGGATCGGTCTTCAAGAGTTCTTGACACTGACTGATAGATGTGCGTTTGACTGAGAGAGAGAGAGAGAGAAGCGGAAGAAAAAGGATTGAAGATCCATCAGCATACGATGTCGTTTGATTGATCAAAAGGAAAAAGGGCAAAAAACCCATAAATCCTCAAACCATATGCCAAAAAAAGTTCCAAAGGTAAAAAATTCTTCAATATAAAAGACTTCCAAAGGTAATAAGTAAGTAGATTAACAATTAATCACAAAAAAGTTGATAAATAATTGGGATTTATTTGGCAACCAAAAAAAAGTGTTAATAAGTACAAAAAGCTGGTAATTAAATGTTATTTGCTAGGCAATAAAAAGTGACAATTCACTTCCAAAAAAAAGAGAATAATTTTTGGGTAATAACTACATACAACTGGTAATTGAATGCGATTTGCTAGGCAACAAAAACATAATAATAATTATAAAAGTCAGCAATTAAATGCTATTTGTCTGGCAATTAAACAGCAAAACCAGAGCTTAATTAATAAAAAATGAATTGAAACAAAGCTGATGAGTAAACCTCATTTGTTGGGCAACCTAAAAAATAAAAGAGGACATTTCCTTAAAAAAAAGTTGGGAAAAAGGTAATTAAATGAGATTTTTTGGGCAACAAAAAAAGGTTTTTTTGTTAATAATTGCAAAAAAGTTATGAATTAAACGTGATTTGTTGGGTAAAAAAAATGACAATAAAAAGCGACATTATTAATTAGCTACTAACAATGAATTAATAATTAATACAATTAAAGCTATAAGTACAATAAAAGATAATAATTAATAATTGCAATTTATTCGGCAACAAAAAGAAAGCACCGATAATTGTAATAATTGAGATACCAATTTTTTGTTAACACAATTTATTGTTGGGAAAGGGCAAAAAGAGGCCAAATTTTAGCACAATCCCACATGTAATATGTTAGCTAGCACTTCCAATCCAAAAAAAAAACAAAAGGATTGTAAATCAGGTTTTATTAGAACACTTCCTGGCAAACAATATTAATGAACAATAAATCAGAACACTTCCTGGCAAACAACAAACAAAGAAAAACAAAAGGATTGAAAACGTCTGAACTCTGAACAAAAGAATTCAATTGGAAATTGGCACGGCCCGAACAACCACCAACAATCGGCCAGTAGCAGGCAAACAACAAACAAAGAAGCAAAAGATTACTAAACGCCTGAGCAAGCAAACAAAAGAATTCACGCGTGGGAAACGGACGACCATCAATTGGAATTCGCACGGGCGGACGACCACCGATCAGCCAATAGCAGCACGCCACGTCAGCAATTAGAACTCAATTGAAAACAACGGCATTCGCGCATAGACTAGATATGTTAATAATGGGATGGAGTTTACAATGACTAGGAGGGGAACACCGCGCGATGCGCGGTGAAAATTTTCATGTTTGCCCAGTTATGCATGGTACATAATTAAATTTCAAGTTTGTCCAATTATTTAGGTTTTTCCAGTTATACAAAGTACATAATTGTTGCAAATTATATTAAGCTGAATCATAAATATTGTATTCACCCATTCAAAATTAGATAAAGCTGTGTCGTATTTATCCATTCAAAAGTTTCTAAAGCAATTAGCAAGAGTAATTTTCGATGATACTGTAACTGTGAAGTGCATCCATGTAAGCAGACTTGAGAAAATAGACTCTCATCTAGAAAGAAAACGAAAAGTATAATTGTAAGTTACGGACTTACTGGATTTCTTTCTCCACCAGATTTTACCATTAGAAAGCAGTATCAGTACAATATACTTAATGTTCCAAAAGGTATAAATTATAAAAATACAAAAAGCCTATGAAATGCCCTTTTTCTCTCAACTACTAACACCCATGAAGACTCCCTTTTTTAATGTAAATACTAAGAGATACAAGACTCAAACACAATCGGGAGTGGAGAGCTGCATATGCTTCCAATCTGTGATAAGATAAACAAGTCATTATCTCAAGTTTAGAACCTTGTTGATACAGCAAATGAGATACGATAAAGCAAATGAAATAGATATATAATGGAAATATTTTGGGTGCATGATAACAACAAAGAAAGGTATCAATACCTTTCAAAATGGCATTTGAGGCCAAAATATTCATCCACTGACCCAACAAATTTTATCACTTTAATCTTGTTTTCCTACAACAGTAGAAACTTATTCAAAAATGTTTTTGAATCTTGGAATTAAAATCACCAAAAGACGAAAGAAGTTCAATTTCTTTGGAATTCATAAAACGTAGAGACATAAAGAAAAGAATACAGGAACTTGTAGAATAGAAAACTTGCAATATTATTTTTTGAACTAATCTTGACTATTTAAATAACATAAAGTAAGAACTCACCAAGGAGGCTTCATACTCTTGTTTCATCAAATGTAATAAAACATCTCTACACCACCAAGTAGATACACAACTATTTATTTGGCTGAGTTAGACTAAGTATAAAAATTGTGTATCTCATGTTTAAAGGTTTGAAACTGCACACTTGTCAAATGGATTTAAACCAAATTTTGCATTCCCACTTGTGCTCCCAAAAAAGGACAAGATATTAATCAGCCAATATTCTGCACCTTTTTGTCATTACTTATGGGTTGTATATAAGTTCTTACTTGAATTCGAGAAAAGAAGAAAGACAAATTTTTTTTTTGTATAATACATACTGTATAAAAAAATCAATAAAAAAGAAAATGACAACTTCTTTAGTGCTACAATTTAAACATGTTTCACCTTTTTTTAAAAAGACATTTTTTAAACCGTTTCAGCCATTTAATTAGTTAAACCACTTCCTAAATTGTCAAGTCCTTGTGCTCCAATGAAACAGCAAAAGTGGCATGCCACTTAAGTTCCTAATTTATATTAAATCTACCATAGGAATTTTCTCGTCTTGATTTTTGTGCTTATTTTAGTAGCCAAAATTTTAAAGTCAATGATTAAAAAACTTATTTACATAACACGCCAAACATCTTACTAAAGCAAGTAGCACATTGTGGGCATAATCAAACATATTGATACAAAACTAAGAAAACAAGAGACCAAGAATTTAATTTCACTTACTTGAGTTATAAATTGCTATCCAAAAGTGTGAAATAGCTGGCTACCTATCTCTCATAGTAGACCACGTACGCATAAACAGTTGCACCTTTGCACCTTTATCTTGGGCACAATTTTCTTACTTCTATTTTGAAAAGAAAAAAAAAGAAATTTAGAACCAAGTTTTTACCATAGCCACGATGCACAGGTATTCAAAGATTCAAGAGTCAAAAGAATTAGCTTTCTGGATGATGCCCTTTGTGTCTTGCTTAGGAACCTTATATACGCTTCAATCAAACAAATTAAATTGCAGCAAGAAGTACAATTACTAACATGCATATCTTAAGTCATAACCATTTTCTTTTTTGTCAGGAAGAAATTACCTTATTTCTATGTGCTTTGGTAGCCATCAACTATGAGGAAAAAATGATCAAAAAGGATGTCCCATAATAGCTTAAACAAATAAAAGCTAGAACAAGAACAAAACCAAGAAAATGATTTGAGAAATCACCAAACAATAGAATCATTATGGGAACAAGAGGAGGTTCATCAAATAGAGCCGAGAAAGAGTATTCATTGCCAAGATATCATCAATATACATTATATTTAGTCATACTAACACAAAATCAATAAGATTCCAACATTACTACAATATGTCTTGTTTTTTTACAACTAAACACTTACCAATGGAAAAATTGCAAAGATAATCTGGCCGCAACCAATTGTTTTTTATTTTGTATTGCTAGCAAAACAGTCAGATATTCCCCTATATATGAAGTTTCACTTGGAGGTTAATCTTTTTATTCCCACAATCCATTTTGCAGTTTCAGGGAATGCTTCAATATGATGCAAAAAATACGAGAAGAGAAAAACATAAAAAATAAAAATGAAATAGGTAATCCACTAACTTTAAATCTAGAGGAAATAGGATAACCTTCCCAAACAATCATCCTCCACTTTTTTCAAGACCAATAAATAGGGCAAAGTGAGAAAAAATTTACAATAAACTACTACGGAGGGATGGGGGAAATGAAGAGAACACAAAAACATTAAAACACACCTTCATGGTTGAATGGAGAAAAGCAGCCTCCTTTTTCCTTGTTCCTTTATCTAGCAATAATATAGAACAAACAAATGCTGAAAAAAACAAATTAATTAGGAAAAAGAAAAGACAAAATCAAATTAGATAAACTTTTTTCCAGGGAAAGAAACATAGAGTCTAAATAATGTGCACTTTGAGAAAAGAATTTCTCCAATCCTTTGTTGCATATCTTAATATCTTGTAATAAACATTTGGTACATATTAGAGCATAAAGGATACGAAGCAAAACAATAGCAACAAAGCCTGAGGATTAGCAGGAAGCAAAGAACTTGTGTTTGCCAAACCATAAATAGGCATTAAGCACTAAACATTTGAATGCATTTCCAAAGTTTCACATCCAAATTGATTAAGAAACCAAAATTAAAGAAAAAGCCAACTGAAAATCGAAAAAAGGTAAAGAAAAAACAAATCCAGATTTTTTCATCAAAGAAAACTATCAAATTCCGCATATGATAAATTTCAACCAGCTAGACCTCTTGTTTCTTTTGGGTGGTTCTGCTTGACCAGCAATGCAAAACATAAAGGACCGAGATTGGAACCTGAAATATTAAAATCTCAAAAAAAAGTCAACTTATATAATGCAAATACATGTTAAATACAAATACTAAAGCAAATCATATGATTTTTTCCCAAACAAAATCTGCTTGTTTGAAGCAAATCATGTCCACATCACGCCTGTGCTACCCTACGTTTTGCTATAGCCATAATAAAAATCTCTTCTATATGATCATAAAGTAAATGACATCCCAAAAAAATGGTAGAAATAAATCTTGGTGAATAAATCAACATGAGTAAATGTTTTTTACACCTGCAGTCTTCAAGGCAATAAAAAAACACTGATTCCTAAAGCAAAAATATTTACCCAAGCAACAGCAATATGTCGAGATCTAAAGGCACTAAGCCAAGTATAACTAAGCTAAACTTCTCTAGCAAAACTGCTGCATTAAGCAAATATGCAGCCATAATTTCCTCTTATACCTGTTAATGGTCTCTAAATACATGCTAGGAATAAACTCACCACATGTAATAGTCTTTTATACACACACATACACATACTTCACCATTGTTCTATAATAATCTGGACTAAACATTTTAATCTTTAGTCCAAATCAAAACATCATATGCAAAAAATAGATAGACACACAGACCAGCCATTTTTGTAATAACTAGTTATCTAGGTGTGATATTTCAAGTAAACCTCTTTTTGTTCCTAATACAAGAAACACACATGGAACAAAATGTTATCCGGTGATTAGCAAATGAAAGATAATGAACAAATTATGCCTTAGCAGCATCTTTCAAGGATTTGTGGTAGAGTTCACTACTTAAATTCTGCAAAATGAGAATCAAGAACCACCAAAATAAATCAGCAGAATGTAGTGTTTTATCACCAAATTACATATACCTTAGGCAGCATCTAGTTAATGTTCATACAGAGTTGCTCTGTCAATTGACAAATCTTTAACATGCCTTTTATGCTTGTTCTTTCCCATGTTAAGACTTCTCTCACTCCACTGCCAATTAGTCCCACTCTAACTTATTTTTTGTAACCTGTTAACATATTAATTAGTCAAATAATAATCCTCTAATTGCTAAAAACACATGTCATACACAATATAAACCCAGAAGGAAAACCCGTCTAAAATAAGTTGCATGAAAAAAGGTAGGAAGGCTACTATTAACAAACTGTTCACTAATGAATTAAAGGAGTGAATTTCAAATTATTAGAGCCGATTTTCACATATCAGTTTCTACCATATATAATTGAGCATAGACATTTCTGATTCATGATATTTGTTCAAAATCTGGTATTTTAATAAAACAGAAGGCTGAAGGGAAAAAATCATCAGAAGATTGCACCTATATAATATCCAACCTCACACTTTTTCTTTTGTCTAAATAAATAGACCAACCAAAATATTATGGGTAAAAAACCTGCACCATGACAAAGATTACACATTCGTACTCATGGGGAAAAATCTTAAATAGAAGACCTCTCTAAGAGATTAGCATTTAAAAACAGATATTTTTCCTTTTGTAAAACTACAATAGAAGAAGAGATTATATAAGCACATAAAGCTTCTCCTTTTTATCAGTAAGTGAAGACCATGAGAAGAGAGAGGAAATTCATGGATAGAGGAACAAAGTCTTTCGGTTGAAAATCAAGAAAATAGGTTATAGGGGACAACTTTTTTCCAAGTTTAGTTGCTATTTAACAAATTAACAGTTTTAACATTTTGTCAAACATTTGATAAATTAAACATGATTATATCATTACATTACTTTAAAACAGAAAAGGGGAAAAGGGAAAAAAGTAACCCCACGTACAAAAAGACCCAAAAAGTGGAGACCTATGAAATGCACAAATGAATCCAACGTCTAGTGAGGATTGATCAATTTTAAGTTTAAAAGGCTCAAGGAAACATGATAAATTTAAACTTTCCAAGACACAACTAAGAGGATAAACACTTCATGATAACCAAAATTGAAACTTACATCTAATATGTCATAACAAGAAATAAATAACAAAAAAATCCAAAGCAATCTCTTTTGCAGAGAAAAAAATAAAGAAAAGCAGAGTATAAACTGTAATCACATATACGCAAATAGAAGAAGGCTCGCTCAAAACATTCACCAATATTATGCAAAATAGGTTGGGAATATGTTGATCCATACCACCTTATTAGTAGTTTTTGAGAGAATCAAAGAAAATTCCAATTTTTGGACCTGCAACGTCACCAAAATATACAAATTATATAATCAAACATGGATAAGGAACTTTTTAAATCCACCAGAAATAACTTAATCAAATTTGTTAACTGCATTTTAATGTTTTTTAGTCACGGACGGAAAAGATGGAAATCAGGCAAAAGTAAGGGGAGGAAACAGCAAAAATAACTCTTCTTTTAGAAAATAACCATATAAAACCTACCTTCAAAAAAGGGGGGAAAAGCTCAGAAAATAGCATGAGAATGATGGAGGTAATCTGCAAATTTCGTAACTGCAACATCTAAACATTGCAAAAGGAAAAAAAAAAAGAAGGAAAAAATACATAAGGCTAGAGAAGCTCTAGAAAAAGAAGGAAAAATAAATTTTGAAGCGAAGCAAAAAATTCCCAACCATATATTTGGTATTGTTGTTGTCGATCAGAGAAAATGAAGGATAAGATAGGAAAAGGAGCAGCTTCAAGAGGGAAGATAGACTTACAAAGTAGCATGAGAACGATAGAGAAAATCTCCAAATTTCGTACCTGCAAAATCGCAACATCACAGACAGCAAAAAAATAAGACAATCTAACCCGTAAAAAAGGGGAAAAACAAAAGGTTAGAGAAGCTCTAGAAAGGAGGAGGAAGAAGAAAATTTTGAAACAAAAAAAAATACCAACCATATCTTGGTTTCGTTGTTGTCGATCGGAAAAATGAAGGATAAAAGAGGGAAAATGGCACCGTTGGTGATGACGAACAGGAACAAGAAGAGAGGAAGAAGAGCTTTTTGGGGGAAAGAGGCAGACATCGAAAGAAAGGAGAAGAAAAGGCGTTGGTCTGAGCTCTGATGTTTCTCTTTCTCGAGCCATGTGCACACCTGACACCACGGAAAAGGAATCTTTGGTAAATCCCAGTCTCTTGTACTATGCTTGGTTGATATAACCAAGTTCGGCGCCTGTCCAATTGTCAAACGGGCTGGACAACCATCAAGAGGAAAGAATCACGGGCCGGACGACCACCAATCATCCAATGGAAGCCAGCCACATCAGCAATTGAAGCCCAATTGAAAACTTCCCCATTCCCGCATAGACTAGATATGTTAATTAAGGAGCTCCTGTGATAAACGAAACAAAACACGTCTACTTTTGTCTCGAGATATTGGGCTGAGGAAAGCCCAACCCAAGAACCGATTTTCTTTATATTTTCAAACCAATAAAATGGGGGAAAAATTGCCTATAAATACCGGGGACTGGATGGATCACATTCCAATCCTTCGGGAAAGTTCGTTCCAGGGAGAAGAATTTCCAGTGGATAGCGTAGGAGAACTTTGAGCCGATCACCGGACGCTGAGGAAGAAAGTCAGTATGTCACACTTCGGAAGGTCAGGTCAGGTCAGGTCCGCCAGACATCACTGACACCTATTCTCTTCTCGTCCTCAACATAACGTTCCGTACGTCTCTTCCACAAAGCCCCCCCTTCCCTTTCTCTCTCTATTTGTTACATTTTATTTTCTATATTTTTTCACTATTGGTTTTCTCTTGTGGTGGAAAATAATCAATAGGCACGAACGCTGATGATCTCTTTCCGCTGTTCGATAGGTATGGAAAGGTTGTTGATATCTTTATCCCTAGAGACCGAAGGTTTTTTTTTTTTTTTCTCTCTAAAAGTTTTTGTTGAAGAAATGGATGGTGCCATGCCCTAAACAATCAGATTCAAGAGTTTATAGTAGGTCTTTCTTGTTTTTGTGGAAATACCGCGGGCATGCTGATCTCTGCTGCTTCATGCTTAACCAATTGCTTAATTTCGATGAGAAGTTTGTCCTAAACGGCTTCTTTTTTGTAGTTAGAGTTATAAAAGCGGATTATGAAATAGATGGCTGTTGAAAATCGCATTGGAAGCATGTTTTGTTGAAGTGTTTTTTCAGAAGAAAACAAATTATTTCTTTTTAAAGCATCCAAGTATCTTTGTTGCATAACTGTATTTTGCTGCTTAGATTAAGCTAAAGGAAATGCCAGAAGCAAATTGAGACCACTTACAACAGCTTTTAGCTTAATGAAAAGATTTGGTTAGTTGAAAACATGCGCTTAGTCATTAACATTGTTTTATTTTTAGACACTGTACTATAATGATATTGGATGCAGAAATAGCATCTTCTCCGTATCTTAAACCTATTAGTTAATAGATGATTGATTTTTATTGAAAATTTGTGTTCTACTTTATCTCCAGTGGTGCATTTAAACTGTGCTCTGAAATTCATAGAGTGAACATTGAACTGATAAAAATGGAGGTCCTTTTCTCCAGAACTCTGCATTTGGTTGCATGTTTCTTATTTTAATCTTAATTAATTGCAGGACCGGTGAGTCACGAGGGTTTGCATTTGTCCGCTATAAGTATGCAGATGAAGCCCAAAAAGCAGTGGATAGACTAGATGGTATGTTTGTCCATTCTATGTGGTTGAAAGGATAAGTTTTAGCTATTCTGTCAGAAGTAAAATCAATCTCAAACTCTGTGGAAGGAGAATTGTTTGCATGGAATTCGATGCCCAGAATGAATTTTTGTGATGCTTTCCATGGAACATGCCAAGTATTTTTAATCCTCCTACTGGCCTTCCCTGCTCAACTTTGGTGTTCATTTGACTTAGTGATTAATAAGCCCGTAGGGAAACTGGGGGAGAAGATATATCTGTGGAATTGGAAAAGCCAATTTATTCATTCTACCTGAGCTTCCTGGGTACTTAATTATGGCACAAAATAGAAGTTCCAATGCACATGATTACAGGCCTTCTACTTGTTTAGCATACTGGCAGCTTGTGGCTTATCTTCCATGCTCAAACCAAAGGTTCATTTGCATTTATAAGAGTATTAAGCTGGAGGACGGGAAACTGATTTTGTAATCTGCTGCCACATCATCATCTTCTATGTCCTAGACTGGCTTACATGTTGTACTCCAGCAGACTGCTCTACAGTCACACTTGAATTTTCACAATGTTGCAAATGTTCACAATCTCCCTAAATGGCTTCACAAGTATCATCATGATAGTTGTTTCTGAGATCATTCTTTTGTGTATCAGTAGAAATTTTCTGGTCATCGTGTAGGCAAATGCAATTCCAGCATTAGCTTCGTGGAATTCATTAAAGTGATCTGCATGCAGATCACTTGTTGGAGACAGTATTAATATAAGAAACTGATGCACATACTTCTTGACTGCTGTCTCACCCTTTGTTAAGTATGTTTGAGTCTAATTAATTATTGTTCTCTTGATGCCATTTTGGACAGGGAAATTGGTTGATGGAAGAGAAATTGCTGTTCAGTTTGCAAAATATGGGCCAAATGCAGAGAGGATGTAAGTCTCTCTTGCCTTGACCTCTTTCTTAAGTATTGTTCATCAATTGATTGTCATCCTTCTTTGCTGTTATTATGTCCAGTTCATATACAACAGCTTTGTTTTACTGGTTGTGAAATGACTTTCACTTGTGCAGCTAATTTTTTCTCCATTTAATGCCAAATTCTAGTGGGAAAGTTATGCCCCAAGTATTTGCAATTCTAAAATAAATGTTATATGGAGGATAAAGAAAAAAAAAATAAAGTGGTATTGTTCAAAGTTATCATGAGTTATAGTTATTCTTGGTAAGTTTGTTATGACAAACATTGAATGAGGCCATAACAAAGATTCTAAAGCGACATAAATTATTAACAACAAGCCACCTTGATTTTGCTTTTTCTATAGTATTGGACAATTAACAATATTTTGTCTTTGTTTTTGTAATTGTCTAACTTTTTCTCAATGGTAAATATGTATTTCTTGCCTACCTTTTGTTTCCAAATCCTTGTTTGGGGTGTTCTATCTTTGTTGTTCTCTTTTTCCGTGTCTAGGTATGTATTGTCTTGAAGCTCTTTTTTTTTTCCAACTGTTTTTCTGCTAATTCCTTTTCTGGACATGTTGATTTGATCTTTCATGTTTGGATCTCAGCCACAAAGGGAGGATTGTTGAAAAGTTGCCCAGAAGCAGGTTCAGGTCAAGAAGTCAAAGTCCTCGACGAAGGTGAGGTCTTTGCCTTTATTTGTTTGGGCTCAACTTATGGTAATAGTGTCGAGAAAGTGCCATCCTAAACCTTCTACAATTTTCATTGTCATGTGACTTCTGTCACGTGTATGCAGTTTATTACGTATGACTTGATGTTGGTATTCTGTAATCATGAGGTTACATTATGTTGCTGGAATTTCATTTTTTTTGTTCTGTTGTATAAGTGTGGCATGGATTGCAATTTGCTGAGAAGTTGGGGTTGGTTTAAGTGTGTTCTGTGGTGTAAGGATACAAAGAATCCAATGCTAGCGATGTAGTTTTTCTCTGCTCGACTTATTTTCTGGGGCAGATGAGGTATTGAAGCAGAATATCATATACATGTTGGCTTGTGGTTTACTTATAATGTTTCTGGCCTTGAATTCTTCAAGATGCCAACATCTTTTTCTTTTTACTGGCATAAATGGGGATGTGACTTTTAGGACTCAACTGTTTTCCAGGTATCGGGATGATTATCATAGGGGCAGAGATTACCGGCGGAGAAGTCGGAGCAAAAGTTGGGACAGCTATGAGAGTGATAGGTATTGAGGCAGGGAACGAGATTACCATTATCGATGCTATGATATCTATATGGACTTTTGGTTCACTTGCTGTGTTAGAATTTTTTGGCTTCTGGCCTTGAATTCTTTCAGATGCCAACATCTTTTCCATTTTACTGGCATAAAATGGGGATATGACTTTGGGATTGAACTGTTTTCCAGGTATCGGGATGATTATCATAGGGGCAGAGATTACCGGAGGAGAAGTCGGAGCAGAAGTTGTGACAGTTATGAGAGTGACAAGTATCGAGGCAGGGGACGAGATTACAATTATCGAAGCAGGGGACGAGATTACCATTATCGAAGCAGGAGCCGTAGTCCAAGTCCATATGATAGAAGTCATAGGAGGGGTCATTATGATGACGAAAGTCCAGAATATGATAGAATTCGTGGCAGGGGTCGACATGATAAACGCAGGATGAGTAGTAGTATATCTTCTGAAAGGTACTGTAAATGTCATGTCTGCTTTATTATTAAGACTACTGTTTTCTCCTAGCTAAATTGTTCTGGAAATGTTGCAGTGCGTCGCCACGCCGGCGTAGCCCCAGCTCTCAGAGTGATATATCATCACGGAGGACATCATCCCCCAGGAATGGTACTGGTGCTCTAACCCATAATGATCTGTACTCCACTGCTCAAAGCTTGTCTCCACAAGGCCGAGCTGCTGATCCACAAAGCCTCTCTCCCCTCTATTTAGAGAAGGTCGTATCCTGAGTTGTGTTCTGCTTTATGAAATTTTACAGGCAATGACCTAATATCGTGATGTGTTGCCTTTTTTTTTTTTTTTTGCAGGAGTGATGGTTTTCTGGAAGACACCCTGCTTTAAGTCAACATGTTGATTATGTTGCATGTTCTGCATTGTGGTTTTAGCCCATGCTTTTGGTAGGAGGATCCTCTGAATCAGCTAATTTGTAATGGGACTATATGTTCTGTGGGGTAGTTGTTTCTGTTTCTAAAACTTTAATGCCAGTCTGAATCACCTTGTTTTTGGCGTCCATTTTGTCTCTAGAAAGTTCTGTCTTTGTTCAATGGTGAAGCATCACTGTGTGCTTAATTTATGGTCTAGAATGTTCCTGGTGGTTGCATGCGTTTATTGTGAATATATTTCAATTCCGAGTTTCTTTGTGTGATCTGCATAAGTATTTTCTCCTGTCTGGGTGGTTAATAAAAATTCTATATGATGATGAAACTCGTGTTCTATTTTATAGCATGCTCGAGAAAAGGTGAAATGAGGCTGATGATCAAGTAGCTGTTGATGCCGTCTGTTAGTTAGTAGATGCATATGCACTATTTCATA